TAAAAAACAGCCCAAAACTTCACATTTGGCCATATGTTCATAAAAATGAAAATTGTGCTTCAAATGACTGTGAATGTACAAGTTTATACCAGCTCAACTCTCTCATCTCTTGTTTGTCTGCCTTTCTCTCACTCATTTCTCTCGATGCTCCTATATCTGCCTCCAGTCTCCTTCTGACTAGTAAAGAGGGAGAAGGACTTTGAGGCGTGTATTTTCAAATATAACCTTGTTAAATAGCACAGACTTATTTGGGAACGATGCTCACAAAACACAGAACAGCCCCCAGATGAGTGCATACTTAAGTACACAGAAGTCTAATGTATGAAAATTGTTTTTATTGTTCTACAATACAAAAACAATAAGTCTTACTTTAAAACCACTCCTACATAGCTCTCTTGGTGATTTTCTTGCCTGTGGTTATCGCCACAACTTCACACAACTACCGTGGTTTTATCTTATTATCACTATAACAATGCTAATTTCCACTAATTTTATTGAAGGAGGCTTTGACCTGTTGGCTGTCTGTAGAAGTACTATCCCCAGAGCTGATCTGGTCACCCAGGATCTACCTGTTAAACCACTTACCTAGAATTGTTTTGCTACCAATATGAGACGTGATGTGACGCATTCACGGCACCCTGCTAGTGTGGGTTTCTTCTCTTTCAATGAGACGCAAAAGCAACTTCACTGCTAATAGCTCCCCTTTGTGGACATTTGGTGTAGGCGCTTTAAGCATATGGGTCATTCTTAGAAAAGAAGGCCATCTGAAGAATGTACACATTCCATGCCTTGTATTAGAATCAGAAATTTGCTAAGAAGTGATTTTTCAAGCGGTGGGGTGCTGGAGCCTATCCCAGCTGTCACTGGGCGGAAGGCAGGATACACCCTGGAGAGGTCGCCAGTCCATCGCAGGGCAGACAGACAGACATACACAGTCACACACACACTCAGACCTAGGGGCAATTTAGTGTGTCCAATCAGCCTGACTGCATGTTTTTGGACTGTGGGAGGAACCCGGAGTACCCGGAGGAAACCCACGCAGACACGGGGAGAACATGCAAACTCCACACAGAAATGACCCTAGTCGCCCGGCCGGGAATTGATCCCAGGCCATTCCTGCTGTGAGGCGACAGCGCTACCCACTGTGCCACCGTGCCACCCCATTTTCTGAAATACATATTTCTAAATAAAAATTGTATTAATTGTATTAACACCAAACCTTTGCCAAAGCCAAACAAATGTTTCCACCTTTATAGTACAAATATAAATTCATCAAAGAAAACAAAGAAAAATACAATCATTGATCTGTGTCCTTTTTTGCTTTCTACCCCATAATTATAACTTTTTTAGCTATAAAAATAGGTATTATCACATTAAATTGCATAATGAAGAGGACGTGACATAATTTAGGTCTTCAGAGGAGCCGAGATCAAAAGCCTGTACGTTCTGCTCTTATTCAACTTTAATAACAGGGTCTATCAAGCACAACATGTCCACTCCAGCAGGGATTAGCAAAGATACATCAAAATGAAATGGAAAATAAGATACACTTACAATTAGGGTATTTGGTATCAAAATAAACCACGAAACACAGCAGCCACGCCATGTATCAAATCCTGTTCGCCAGCTTGTTTTAAGACGTTTCTGTTCCACCTTAAATGCTGCTGCAGCTACATTCTGTCAAATCTGTAACATTCAAAGTGGAACAGAACATTTGATTAAGAAGCTCACAAATGGGAAGTCAACTTCAGCCACATTTAAAGATGAACATCAGCCATGCCCGCCGACAGTTCGGTTCCTCAATAAAGGTATAAAAAGTGCCGACCTCCCCTTCACAGCCTGGAAAGGCACATTTCTGCACAGTCTGCTATTTTCATTGCTGCTGCTCCACTGCAATGTTGCGTTCTTCACAATACCTGCTTGGCTAGAACACAGGCTGGTGTATTTATATTTTGGGGGCGTAAATATTAACGAGTCAATACTGTTATGTATCAGTTTAGGATTTTGGAATTGGCCCATTTTACCGTCCTCTTTGGCTTATGCGGGATTTCCATTTAATTTCAGAGACAAAAGTGTTTGAGGTTCAGGGTGGGTCAGTTCTTCTTATTCAACTATGCCAACGTTAAATAGAGTTTTCCATTCTGTTAGACCTTTAACTGCATGTAAGACCGGTAGGTCGCTGCAAGGGATCAGTTACATACTCCAATAATGACGCTACAATGAAAACTACAAACGATTGTGAATGTACAAATTTACACCAGCTCAACTCTCTCACCTCTTGTTTGTCTGCCTTTCTCTCACTCACTGCTCCTATCTCTGTCTCCAGACTACAATATAGTGCCCACAGTCTTGTTAAATAGCACAGACGTATTTGGGAATAATGCTCACGAAACACAGAACAGCCCCCATTACAGACTCAGACCTGGCAAGAAGATGGGACAAACTCCAGTGACAACCTGCTGTTTAACGGCGTAGCAGCACATCGTTGACCATAAGGCTTAACACCTGTGCGTTTAACAAGTTACACAGGTTCGTGGCATTATAAGGTAAGGTTGTACAGCAACTCTGAAAGGCTTTATTGTTTGTTTGTTTGTTGTTGTGTGTGTGTGCGCGCGAACAACCAATGAAAACGTAACATAGGCTTAAAGTCGCAAGCGTTGCCTGTGAGTGCTGCTTTTTGCGTCAAATAGTTAGCTAGAACGTTCCGCATTGGTAAATTTAACCAAAATGGCCTAGGATACTAAAACGAACGCCAAACTTAACATGAACTGTTAGGAATTGTAGCACTTTGGGCTAAAAATCCACGGAAAGCTGGCAACCTATTTGTTTCTCACCTTCTGAATCTTAATCCTCTGATCTCAAGGAGCCTGAACAAATTACTAAGCAGGAACCAATCAGAGGCTGCGTGCATCGTTTTGCATTTTTATGATGTCATCACGTGGACGTTTCACAGAAAGTATTGGTATTTTTTAGTATTTTTAACTACAGAAATATATAATAGTTTATTTTGATACAAACTATGAAGGTATTTTCAACAACCCAATCAAATACAAATAACAAAATCCTTTCTTGTATTTTAAATATTCAATATAATCATAAATTCTGCCCATCCCTGCGTCCCGTCACACAAAATAGACAGAGAAGAAGTCACAGAAAGGCAATTAACTGGTGAAGAACTATGTTAAAAGGTCTAAGCTTGATAACAGACAGCGTAGCCAGTTTATTTTACACTGTCACATCAACCTCTGTCACAAGTTCAGTTTAATGGAGGAGCTTTTAATATTTTGTGCAAAAATATAAAAATGGTCACTGAGGTCAAAAAGTGACCTCACTACTGCAACTTACACCATACAAACTGATGATCAGTTTGTTTGAAATGTTTCAGTATATTGCCCCACTTAGCTCTATAACATGTATATTTGAAACAGAGATTTTTCTCTCATCTTTATTTCTATATATCACTTTGAAAAGACAAGTAATACAAAAGTAATCAGACTACATTACTTTATAAGAGTAATCATTTGTATTAGGTTACAGATGACCTTTTATTAACAGGTAATCAGTAATCTGGACTGGAAACATTTTGACAGCTAGATATTTTACTAAACTTGACCCCTTTCGTTAGGGCACCAGAAACACCACTGGTTGAGAGAGGAGACTGTGAAGTCCTGATGTGGAACTGACCTTGAACACACACACACTCATGATATTCACTGCTCCAGGCTGGAGGGTGATGTGAGGTCACTCTCTGTGCACTGATGGAAACAGTGAAGGTTGAGGAGTTCAGCCTCTCTCTAATCTTATCTCAGGCTGTTTGACCTCTCTTCCAGCTGCCCAGACTTACTGTCGATAGTGACATTTCTCAAAACAATCAGAAGGGATGGAGAGCATGACTTCAGTTTATAATTACAGTCATGGGATGGGAGATAAGACTGTGTTTGTGTGTTTATGTACTTCAGTGCTTAAGTGAGATTATGAGTTTTGTACTGCATGTGCTGAATCTCTCTGCTTTAGTCTGCAAAACAGTTTAACTCTTGGTTTTAGGTAGCAGTAATTCCAATGCATTCCACTGCATCATTATCATTCCAATTGAAAAGTCTTGTTCAAAATTACTTTCTACTTCACTTGAAAGATTGATCTTTTGAAGAGGTTGATCCACACACATTGTACAAATGCCTGGACACAGAGCTGTAGAAGAAAGAGTTTATTCAAACTCTGTCGTAACCTTAAATAAGTTTATGTCATAAACAAACTAGCTACAAAAGACATGATTGCAATATACAAAAATATCACACTTATTCTACCTAACGTAAATGTTCGGTTATCAACATAGTCCTGAAAATATTTATATGTTAACAGTACTACAGCATGCACAATCTCCTGTACAAAATATATATTTACAGTCATTCAACATGAATGCATTTTCATTACTTGTTATAATAAAGCACTGAGAATGAGCAATGTCTTGCTCCTGGACATGTGGTGTAAAAGTTTTAGACCAAAATGAAAACTTGCTCCTTTTCAGTGAATTTAATAAATGCATGAGCAATATAATCCATCTTGGTCTGAAAGTGGAACCTATTCAGCAGTTCAGAGGCTGGTGCTTTTACAGGTGGATATTATAATTTTCATACTATAGTGTGTTTTGATTCTGTTTGAAAGGTCATAGTATGGAGATGCTGATTAACTTCCTTAAGTTCTGGATACTAATAGCCAGAACATTGGTCCAATGGCAGGTGTGTCCAGTTAGGCACTTGAAGGCAACCATCTAAGCATTGGTCCTATCGCTGGGAGCTTGATCCAGCCATCCGTGGCTGGGAGTCCAAGAGAGCATTATTGGCCTCGCTCTGGGTGGGTAGGGTGGCCCTCCATTACTCAGTGGCAATGATAACCAATGTGGGTGTCTGTTAGCAGTTAGTGTTCTCCTCTAAGTTTGTCGAGCTGTTCAATGATGTTGCATTAGCAGAAATTTAAAAAGATGTGGTGGAGCTTCACAATTTTTTAGGAACCATGGGCAAGTCTTCACCCAACTACATGATAGCATTGTGTGATATGAGGGAGATCTAGCTAGTGGGTGGAATTATACATGACAAAATAGATGAGAAAATTGTGTTAAAACTTAATAAATAACAGATGATTTAGGTATGTTTTGACAGGAAAATCAACAAACCCTCGCTCTAAAGGACTGAAGATGGACACCCTTAACCTAAAGAGATTTCTACTTTATGCGCTGGAAAAAGGTTTGGCTTAGGACATAGAGAGTGAGCCCCAGACCAGTGCTGTTTATGGGCATCTTCACACCTCTCTTCTCCTCCTTGAATCATCTCAGATGGGCGCCCCCTGGTGGTGCCGTCTGTTCCTGTTCTTCCGCAGCTCTTGGATGTGTTTCCACTTGCCTTTCTGCCTCTGTTTCTTCTCTCTGTGCCACAGTGTTTCACAGTACTCATCCAGAGAGGGTGCACTCAGCACACGCAGGTAGTCCTTATAGCGTTGCCGAGACTCTGATGCCATAACGGCCACAACCGTGGGGTCCTCAAGAGGCCCTCTAGAGGCCAGCTGCTGTCCGTGGAGCTGCCCTCGGTCCAGCACTCTTAGAGAGAGGTTTAGCAGAGTGCGGGTGAAGCTGTGCTCCTGTGATGTACAAAAATATGAGCCAGCATCATTGCGTAGCAGCCAGCGAATGAGCAACCCCCGCTCTGTCACCAACACACGCTCATCCGGCTTGATCTGAAACAGACATACACATATACATCATATAACAAGTCATTTTTGGATGATTTTGACTAAAGATACTGAGATTTACTTCCTGATAGTATTGTAAAATGCATCGATGTCAAAAGGTCAAAATATTAAATATCAAAAGATGTAAAGGTGCTGGTTCAACTGCAACAGTATCGAAAAGTTGGGATCAATTCTAACTGATAGAATCCACCATAACTGTTAAAATAAAATTCTTAGGTTGTTTTTGAATATAAATTGTCTCAGGCTCACTGTATTGTTTTATCGTACATTCCAATTATACTAAGAAAACCTAATCAAATCATGGTAAAATTTGAGATTTCACGGTACCTGAATTTCCTAAAGACTCATGATCTGATTGAAATGTCACAACTGCTTCTTGACCAACATTGGAAAAACCACTAACAACTAATTTATTATTTTCCAAACCAGTTTCAAGTCATCAAACCCTGGGAAAAAACACTTTCTCATTCAGTGCAATCCATAATTAGGCATCACCTCAAACTCCAAATGGAGAATTCACGTCACCTGTGGAGCTCCTGCCCATAAATCATTCTGATCAATCTGTGCACAGCCATGGCAAGGGCAGCAGCACGCAGCATGGCTCCACACACAGGTCAAAGGTCACTCCTTCACCTCTAGGCTCAGCTTCCTGCTGACCTCTCATTACTACATTTGATTGGTCATTAGAGTCATATTAGACAAATCAGAAAACCTAACCCTGTATTAATGACATTTGGGAAGAAGACTGTGTATGTGTATGAATGTGTGTGAGAGAGAGGTCACCTGCCCTTGATCTTGAATACAGCAACATGTGTGTCAAAAGCAATTAGTAGACCTGATCTATAGCCAAAGTGTGTGTGTGTGTGTGTGTGTGTGTGCATGTAATGAGGTGGTCTGATCTATATTCAAGATGCATGTTCACTTTTTAGGCAGTGATGGACAAAGTACACAAATTCAGTACTTATACTGACATATTATTCAAGTAAAAGTTTAAGTGCTTTATTTATATTTATAAAGTAAATTGTTAAAGTACAAAGCTATTTGCTTTTAAATGTATTTCAGTATCAAAAATAAAAGTACTGTGAGATATTACAAAAACCCAACATCTCCTCTCCTCCTGTACCTTTAGTTTAGGAAATGGGTAAAATTTTACTCCAAACTCTTGAGACTGCATATCTGATTTAAAAATACAGACTTTTCTTAATTCTGAAAGCCTAGTTACAGTTGCTAAACTATGATTGGACATTCAGTCTTCATGGGACAGATTTGATAAAAGGTGCGCTATGATAGGTTTGATTATTTGTGCATTATAATTTTTACACATATTATAGAAAGTCTAGTTTTTACTTTACATATCTTGCAGAAAGTAGTGGAGTTAGAATGTAGGTTTCAAAATGTAATATTTACTCCTCAGTCCATACAGTACATATTTGAAAACTAAGTTTCAAAAACAGTCCATTTTGAATTCATTGTTTTTATCATGTCACTACAGCAAATACATTTACAAAAATCCACCTCTTCAACCCACCCATTATCACTGAAGTTATAAGGAGTGTTTCAGCCCAGACTGCTTTTTGAACAAGATGTTATTCAAGGCTGCCTAGTTACAGTTGCAAAGTTATGACTGGACATTCAGTATTTATGGGACAGATTTAGTAAAACTTGCACAATTTTGATTTGATTTATCCTAGAAAATGCATCTTATTCTTTTCTGATATTATGTAATATGTAGTTTTTACTTCACAGTATCTTGCAGTAAGTCATGAAGTAAAAAAAGTAGGATATTTAACTGTGAAATGTAGTGATGTACAGGTAAAGGTGTCAGAAAATTAAAACAATAAAGTACAGATGCTTTAAAAAAGTACATGTACTTTTTACTGTGCAGCACTGTTCCTAGGTGACCTCTACAGTAAGCTCACTCTGAGGTGAAGGGGTTAGAGTTGAGGAGGCTGATGTGAAGATGCAGTACGTACCAGCGGTGGTGGTATATACTGCGAAGAGGTGGTGACATGGTCAAGGAGACGACTGTCTACTACATACTAATGACCCTCTCCTTCCTGTCGCTCCATCTATCAATCACTATCTCATTCTCAGCTTCTCTCGCTCTCATAGCCCAGATTCCTTTATCTGCATACAGGCGCTCTCTCTCTCTCTCCCTCTTGTTTCTATGTCTGCCAAATCTTCTTTCATGTCATGCTGTTGTCAAGAGCTAAAACAATACAGCTGTGCTTTAGAGAAATAAGGGGGCTTCAAAGCATACCTAACCCCTTTTAAACAAGCGTGCGCACACACACACACAAATACACACACACATAAGTTCACGCTCTGTTAGCTTTTACAATTGCCATCGGAAGAATCCTTTGCTTAAAGGGGAAATGCTAGTGTTCAGCAATGTTTGATTATGAATATAAGACACTGAAACCTTACAAAACTTCATCATCATAAGAAAAGCCCCATATTCCATAACTTCCACTTGTCATAAATAAAATAGTTTGATGTATGCAAACACTAAAGTTTGAAAAAGTACCTTTCACTCCTCAGTCTATACAGTCTATAATGGAAACTAAGTGTTTTAGCCTGGGCTCCTTTTTGAATGAGGCATTATGCAGGGTAGCCAATCAGATCACAGCTCATTTACATATATCAATCTTAAAGGCAAAGTAACAAAAACGTTCTGTTTAATTCTAAAACAGGGGCTCCCATTTTTTTGTTTTCTGTACACCGCATATGAGAACCCACCCACAAGGAGCTTGTTAATTAGTTGAGTTCAATCAGGTGTACTCGATGAGCCAAAGCACAAAAATGTGCACAGTGGGGTGGGCCCAAAACTGGGATTGGGAACCACTGTCTTTAGGGGATAACGAGAGGTTGGATAATGGTCATGTAAAAATGAAGTACGACTGTTCTGGTACATAAAGTCACACAAACAGTCTAAATGGGCTGTAAGGGAAAAATAAAATGCAACAAAATGTAGGATATGGGCCCTTTGAACATTGTCCACACCTGTGACGTCTGTGACTGAAACACAAAGGCTTTTACGCAAGATGAGACGTGTGTGTCAGGTGATGTCACAGTCTTTGTGTATGAGTGTGTGTGCATATGTGTAATACTTTGCCCAGCTCAGGGTAAAGCTGTGTGTTGAAGGTTTTATAATGCCCTGATTACAGCATAAGGTTTGAGTTCAGCTTTGTTCTATAAAGGCAGAACCCAGTCAGGGTGTGTTAGAGTCCATCTGAGGGCTGTGTGAAACGGTGAATGAAAGAGCAAGGCCTTCTGGTCAGGATCAGTCGCACTAACTTTAACAGAGTCACAGACCCTCCTGGGAAATCACATTTGGTTGTTAAAGTGTGGGAACAAAGAGGATGCTAAAAGCGATAGTTCAAACTTCCACAGTTTTCTCTTTTCCCCAATCCTAGTCAGCCAAGACATGTTTGGTGTCAGATGATTGCTTCTTAAGTTCTACACTAAAGCTATAAGGCTAATTTAGAGCTAACAAGTAATTCTTGTCACATATGCTCCACTCATTAACATGGTGCAAACTGCATGTCTTCATACTCTTACTCTAAAAAGCATGAAGAGACATCTCAAGTTCGCTTGCTTATTTGACATACCATTATGTCCTTCACTAAGTCTCCAAAAGACCAAAAAAATTAGATCGCATCTCCATGCCAACAAACTATTTGGAAGGCTTTCCAGTGAAAAGCCTTTTCTTTAATTTAACCAAAAATCGAAGTGGCTAAAATTCACTAGATGCTACGGGAACTTTGACTGGAACCAGGTGAGGAGGCAGAAAAAAAGCTTTTTGGCAACAACAGTCAAGTTGGATTTGGTGTACAAATGTCTGGGCTGTTTTTTCTCCAAAGGCCCTAGGAACCTTATTAGAATACATGGCATGCTACATAAAGTAGCAGGAGATGTTAAATGAAAATCTGGTTGCCTCTGCCAAAAAGATAAAACTGCTATATAAAAAATTGATGAAAGTGTGCTGTATAGCTAAAAACAGTATCGTGAAGTCTGAATTTTGTCTGTGCTTTTGTCCATTGAGATAGATAACAGAGGAAAGGTAGCCTTTTCTGCCATCATGATGACAAGACCAGTACAGGAAATGGTTACAGTGACTGAAGAATTTGAACAAGGCCACAGTCCATTTAACACACCCAAACACACACGTTTCAAAGAAGGACCCTGTTTTAAAACCCATGAGACCCTCTAGTCCTCCTTTCTCTCATAACAGCATTCTATCAGCGTGGCCTGAAGGCTGCTGGGTTTCAGCGCTGAGGGAGGATGTGTTTTTTTGGATGGCACGTAAATCTGTATCAGTTTAGTTTGGATAAACATTCACACCAACACACACACACAACCACATTGTGTTCACATAAACACCAAGTGCTCGTTCCCTTTCCCATCACTCAGCATTGTTCTTTACAAGGTGAAGTGTTGGGTCACATTTTAATACTGGGCTGCAGGTGTGAAGTATGTGAATGTTTGTGCATGTGTGTGTGTGTGTTTGTGTGCATGTGTGTGTTTGTTTGCGTGTGTGTTGCAGGTGGTAAGAACAGCTGTGCCTTGCAGCATCTGGAAAGGAAAGGATGGATGAAGGGAGAGGGAAGAAGGGGAGGAAGAGAGTAAGTGTGAAATAAAACTAAAGCTCAAACAGGGCTCTGATGTTTATTTACAGTTAGACTTAAAACAGCTTTCTGAGAGCAACATGCAGCGCATATATGTAGCCCCCGCAGGTCAGGCATAGCATCTCTCTCTCACTCTCTCTTTCACTCACATACTCACACACACACACACAGAAGTCTGGCTATTGAGTAGTGATTTCGGTTTTCAACCGAATAAAAGAAAAAAGGTCGCAAATCTTGACCCAAAAAAGGTCAAACAGAACAATAACAAGGTGATTTTGTTCCCTTCGCTTTCCTGCATAGACGCGTTTAAACAGTCTGAGCGGCAGCAGATCAACATGGAAATTTTGGGGTTGAACAATTTCATAAGACATTAGACAAGAGATTTGTAATCTCTGTTCCTTCTAAGTATCAAAAGGTGGAACAATACCTGAGGACTTCTCCTCTAGTCCCTGCTAGCACGCTGACGTCATTTGTAACCACAGTCAAAGTGCAAATTATAACCCAAAAAATAATGGAATTCACTGCCTTGGATGACCAACAGTTCTCTCTTCTCAATGATGTTTGATTTTGTGGCCCTTACTGTAGCTTAAATATTGTAGCTGTTTTTATTTAATGCTAGCTTTTTCAGTTTTGTTCGGCAGCCCACTGTCTTTCGAATTTTGGTTTCATTTTGGTAAAGGATTTTTATTTCAGTGCATCACTAGTGATTAACTATAGCAATGATGGATCAATACTACAATGTTGCTGATATAACACTCTGAGGAGTTAGCCCCAGCAGTCTCCATTCATCATAACACATACAGCACAAGGTCAAACCCTCCTTCATATCCACATTTTCACAGAGAGAGGGAAAGGGATAGGATATGAGGGTAATGAGGGTATTGGGTTATTAGCAGCTGTCTGTGTGTATGTGCACTATATGTGGGAGGATAAGGGCAGAGGGGTACTTTTAGGGGTCCATGGCTGGAATGGCAGAGGGGGACAGAAAAAAAAACAAGTGTTGACAGATGGACTGGTATGATGTGTGATAAGTGAAAGGAGAGAAGAGGGAGTAGATGACAGGAATGAAGTGTTTATTCTCTCATTATATTCCTACAGAACTGTGCAAAGTCAGAGACCACACTTTAGTTTATTTAATTGCCAGTCAAAACAGCCATTGAGTATGAATAAAGTATGAAATGGCTGGCTTGTGCCTAATGGTTGCTTTGTCTCTGACCTTTTGCACAGTGCTGTTTTTTCCCACAATTTTTGTCCATCTATGTCAAACATACAGAACAGAGCAGTCCATTGTCTTGCCTTTATTACTTCGTATTACTTTTGCAATATATCTATATCAAATATATATTTGAAATATATTTCTTGTTAGTCAGAACTGGAGTATTGGCCTCTGCAATACTCCATTTCCAAATGGACATTTGCAAAAGCTGAAACATGCAAATGAGTCCTCTAACCACTGACTAAATCTTTTACTGTGTGATGTGAGCATCCTAATCAATCAAAGGATGTAAAAAATGTAATGTAATGTAAATGATTGTGGTCAAAAAAATGTAGGCAGATCACTGACCATGTCATATTATTGTATGTGTTTTAATACATTGTGAGGTTTATCACACCAGCAATATCTTGCACTATAACTGCAATATGGAATTCTGTTCATATCATGTAGGCCTAATATCAAGTACCAAAGGGGAGTTTTGAGTTCTTTGGGGAATGAAGGAGGTAAATATGAGATCTACCAGAGGTTTCTTGGTCTTCAACTTCATCAAACCACTCTTGAATTTGTTTAGCAGTGTGTGTGGGAGCATTGTAACCTTGGAAAATGAAAACATAATGAGGGAACAGTTTGCACCTGGTCTGTAAAATAGCCTCATATTCTTTGGCTGTTTTATAACCATCCTGGGCAATCATCATTATTCAAACTTAAACACATGTGGATATAACAAAAAGAGTTAAAGAAGACTCATCAGATCATGTTGCTTTTTATGTTCCTCAGGGGTCCAGGTTTTATGGTCTCCTTACACTAGGTTATGAATTTTTGTGTACTGGCCTCTGATACATGTTTCTGAACAGCAGTTTGTCCATGTTTGGCAAATGTTGTCAGGATTTTTGAGAATGTTCCCACTGGCACATCAAATAATTCTGCAGTTTTTCTGACTGGTGCACCTGTAATTTGCCTTTGGAACTGTCTGTTCATTACCTCACGTTGCTTTGAAAACTTAAAGAGCTAACTGTCAGCCCGCTTTTACAAGCTGACACATAATGCTTATGTGGGTTGAAGCTAATATGACTCAACTGTGCAGCTGCTTATAACAGTGATTTAGTAATTTTCTGTTAAAGTTAGTTCGTTTTCTTATGCTGTTTATGTTGTTCATTCACTGTGCTGTGAACTGAGCCCTCTGTTTCCTGACACAGTTTGTTTCAGCAGTTTTTCCCTATTTTCGCCCTATGCCATTATGCAATATCTTTAAAGTTACGCAACTCCTCTGCACTTCAGCGTCAGAGATTTAATTGTTACCGTAACTCAGCTGTTGAAATATGTCCAGCAACTAAACCCTGCAGCACCAAAAGCTTGTTTTTTCTTTAATAACACATGACCCAAAAACACAGACAGTGCATTTACCCCATGTGTCTATGTGTGTATGCATTTATGACCACACCATCATTCTGTTTTAGAACATTTTGTTCCTCTTTTCGTGCATGGTTCAATGTTCCTCAGAATGATGAAGAACAAAGGACAAGCTGATCTGGCTGCTTTATTCTCGTTGAGGTAAGTTATGATCATGCTGCGTATGATCCAGCTGCCTTCTTCTGTGAGCCGTCATGGAGGCCAATAGCCTTTATACTACCACTCACACTTTATTTACTGGGATATATGACTGTAACCAAATCTGACAGTGGAGACCAAACATAACAGTTCTCCAGTAAATCACGCCAGATCAGTCTTTCTGAAAATCTGGAGAAATGCTATGATCAGAGGTATGCATAGAAATCTCTGATGTTACCATGATTCAGTTCAATTATGATTCTATATGAATTATTCTGTTGAAATATGGCTAGAATCATAAAATTCAGGAATTAAGCACAATATGATTTGATCTGATTACATTGTATTTGTACAATTCAAAATTATTTTAAAATATGATTATTTTTTATTATTTTACACAGTAATATAGTCTAAACAACAAAATAATTGTCACATTTTTTTCAGATAGCCTAAGAATTGTATTTTGTCCAAACAATTAGTGCATTTTATTATATTAGGTTATGGTGGATTTTAACTTTCCATTGATGCATTTTATGAATGACTCTAAAGAGTGCTAAGTATACGTTACTCTTGATAGTGAATTCGTGAAATGTTATTTATAAATATTAAATGGTCTAGAAACCTTTGGTGCACAAACCTTTTGCCTTGGGAGGTCAAAGTGCAATGTGTGTGGTGGGGCAAAGGCTAAAAGATACCATTATCAAAGGTGAAAAATAATTTGTTAGGCTATATAGTTTACAATTATATTTGTTCTCTCATTCGGTAAGAGGATGAGGTTTCTGGAGGGCCAAATTAAACGTTGTTCTCGGCCAAATCTGGCCCGTGGGCCGCACTTTGGGTAGACTTGGACAAGATTACAATCTCATGCTCATGCTCACACAAACACACAGTCATGTGCTGGTTACCTCTTGGCGGTGGTCTGCTCCTGCTCTCTGTATAAACCAGCGGATCTTGGCCTGCTGTGATTTAGGAACACACTCCAGGAAAGACGAGTTACTCTCCACACCATACTGCACCTTCTCTTCTATGCTCTTACTCAACACTGCAAACACACACAGCAAGGGAGAAGGAGAGAGAATACATTTAGATAGTGGTGAATAAGTGTGAGTGCATATTTGTGTATGCGTGCTCTTCCTCTGCATTTGTGTGTTATCTTGCCTATCTCAATCATGAGCACTCTTGCAGTATGTGAATGAAAGAGAGAGCATTTTTGAGATTTGGTTGTGAATCCCATTAAGCGAGCCCCTCTGGACAATGCTGCATTTTCCCCAAGTACAAAGCGGAGCTTTCAGCTATGCTTTTAAACACACACACACATGCACACTTATTCACCATCATCAGTGTCCCAGCAATGGCTGGATGGGTCTCCGTGTTTGATGTCCTGCCTCCTAGCTCTCCTGGAAATGCAAACACAAATGTAAACACATACTTCATGACAGAAACAATATATATGCATAAATTCACATAAAAGCCACTGATGGTCTTGATCTGATATTCAGAGGTGGCCTACTCTAAGAAATAGTTTTACAGGTTTTGTGATTGTTATGGTTTGCTTTCCAGTTTAGCCCTGCCCTTTCACACTGAAGCAGTGTTTCAGTGCTGGACATCTCTTTAAATGAAGCACAAAACAGGGCAGCTAATGAAAAAAGGGGTCATTTATGTATACCAGTCTTAAAGGCACAGTAACAGAAACAGCCTATTTAATTGTGAGGGATAAAGAAAGGTTGGAAAATCAGCGTGCAAAAATGCTTTACATGACTGTTTAAAAAAACTCATAGATATCATAAATGGACAACAGGGAAACAATAAAATACATGAAAATGTTGGATACTGGCCCTTAAATGACATTAGGAACTGGACTCTCTAGACCAGATGACAATCCACAGGTGCAAACAACAAAGTCTCACAGTCTCTCCCTCTCTTTCTCTTTCTCACTCTCTCTCACTCTTCCTCTCCTTCTCTCTTTCTCATTCTGACTCTGCATCTGCTAGGACTGACCTGACCTGCTTGTGTCAGCAGCAAACCCGAAAGCCAGGGCAAGAGAGAAAAGGGCAAGAAAACTTCTTTGGCAGCTCACATACATCATCTCAACAACAAAGCTCCTCTAATCAATTTGCCTGTCCAGTCCACTCCCACAACACCCTGTGGCATCGGAGCCTTAGAGGAAAATCAAATATTTATCATTTTTTTTTCTTGTACTGAACTCCAGGAAAAAAGCTCACCCTGGAGAAGTAGGTCAGAGTGAGGGCACAGCAGAGTCCACTTGCTCTTTCCTTTGTTAAACTTTCCACATACTCATACTCCTGCCATACTTCCTCATACTACTCATAGTTACTCATCTCTCTTGGCTTTCTTCCACACACCTCTCTCATATTTCTCCAAGCAGCACTATTCCCCCGTTTCCTATTATAAAAAAAGACAGTTCTAATTCTATAATAATAAGATCAGCTACACTGAGGTGGAAAAATGCTCAGTATATGCACATGTAACCAACACGAGTTCAATTCTGTATTAATATGTCATGTTGTGCTGTTCATAGAATAATTTTTTACCCTTATGTTGCTTAGCAAACACAGTTACATTGCTCAGTAGAAGAATTATTTATTGCCATAACTGAAAATGAAATGAAATTATCTATTGAGCATTTGTATTTTATCATACTGTATTTTGTTTTATTAAAAAATGATTACATTTCATTTAAGAAATAAGCCAGTTACTATAATTTCTCTCTGCGCTGTGGCTAACACGACCCTTAAAGGGCCCGTATTCTGCACTTTTTTCCCCCTGAGGTGCACTTATTATGCTTGTGTGGGTTTGTATACTGAAAACTGTCACAATTTATTTTTATATGACCATCTTCCAGCTCCTCTTTATTGCAGAGAACTAAACAGGCTGTTTTTTATTATTGTATCTTGGATTAATATATGTAAATTACCTCCCTTTTGATTGGCTGCTTTGTATTGTGCCTTTTTCTAAATGCAATCTGGGATGAAAGACTCCTTCAACTAGGCTTAAAAAAATTCAACGCGAATGGACATAAACCGCGATGAGCTGAAAAGGATACATTAGAATACAATGCTTTTCTTGACATCATAAAAAATGAACTCAGAGCGAGTCATTTATACAGATTGGTTTCCCTAACGGACCAACTAGTGAGTGAATTGCCCTTTTTTTAAACTTTAACAATTGTTTACATACTTTTTCAAACTATTTTATTCCAAAAAATGTCACATTATAACTAACCACAAGATGCCATGAACATGTTTGTGTTTACCTCTTGGAAGCCGGTATGTATCTGGAGCAGTGTGAGCCGTCCCAGGCGCAGTACGGGTCTCTGGCTAGGCAGCACTCAGCGCAGCCCTGCCCGTAAATGCGGCACCTGTGCAGGGCCACCAGCGCAAGGCCATCCCCCCCTCCGACAAACAGCTGCTGCTGAAAACACAAGTACATCACGCCCTCACAAACAGGACAAAAGCAGCAGCATGGCTGGGAAAACTGCTTACACTGTCAGATGTGCTTTTTTTAAACCCTCCTGAAAGAGCCATCAGTATGTGTGATTTATTTGTTCTATGTCTGTTGCTCGGTAATTAGTCCAGGCATGCTTTCATCTAGGCAAATGGTTGCTTCTCTTTCTCTTTTTTCCCTTTCACCCCATGCCTTAGTTCCTACTCGGCCAGACTTCTAAGTGTAGAATTGTGGTAAATGCACATGATTTGCCGAAGATATACCGGTTCAAAGGGCTTTAGACTGGAGGAAAAATAGTGGGCAGAGAGTGAAATATTAATGTTTATAAAAGATCTCAGGGTCAAGGCAGAAAAGATGAAAGTCAGATTGGAAATTTGGAAAGGTCCGGCTTGCGTGACCCTGTAGTCTTTTCTGACTGCAGAGAGAGAGATCGATTGCCAGAGAGATGGCCAGGAGAAAGCGCAAGATTATCCTTGGCCTGACCCAGCCACGGAGTTCATCAGATAATGAGACAAACAGGAGCAGGGGAAATGTGTGTATGTATGAGACAGAAAGAGAGAGAGAGAGATGGAAAAAGTGAGGAACAGAGAGACAAACAAGTGGAGAGGCTTCAATCCCAAGGATTCATACACTGAAAGGACTCAAAATCAGATCACATGTGAAAGGTGAACTGGCAATGATGGTGAATGCAGTGTGTGCTGCATCCTACAGTGCTCATACCTGTTTAGATGAGATTTCCATAGTAAGGATGGGTGAGGGATTCTGAAATGAGAAACGTTATAGAAATGTTAATGCTAAACAATAGTCTTAGGTGTGTATTTATTTACGTATTTATTTCTTCAGTTATTTCACCTTGAACACCTGTAATTCCTCCAACACAATCTCTTCTGTAGCCCAGTTTTCCTGGGTGATGCTAACCACCTTCAGAATGGAACCAACATCTATGAAACACACACATGCACCCAAACCATAGTTAGTGGTCCACTTGTCTCAGAAAATTTGACTGCACTGCCACCTGCTGGTGGGCTTTAATACACATTTTTGTCAAATTCTATCAGCACATCTTTGAGATGTATACTGTCCATACGTTCATGTAATATTGTGACACAAATTCTGTTAAAATCATAAATAACTGTACCTCACCTGTACCCAAGAACATGACAGCGTACTGGCCATCTTCAGCGGAGACACGGTCCACTACGATCTGAGTGAGCCGATACTCTGTGTTGATCCGAGTGAAGATAGGCCGGCCCGTGATGGGGTACACGGAGTGGTACATGAGTGGGTGCACACGGATAAAGCTGATGACATCATCAGGGAAGTCTTTAGTGGTCTTTATACGTGGGTCATAGGTGCGACTCGGACACTGTTGGGGAATATAAACATAATATAGACATGGAAATAGAGGCGAGTAATACTGAAAACACACAGTCATACTTGTACATACAATGTACTGATATTGGGCTTTTCCTCAGAGAGCAGTTTCAGACCGAGTTAATCATAAGGTTATTACTCCCTCTAGTGGTGAAACTTAAAAGTACAGGTGAAAGAGTTTTTCATTGGTATAGGTAGGGAGAGGCTTGATAGAAACATAATGAGAGAGAGAGAGAGAGAGAGAGAGAATCAAAAGCTATAAAGAAAATATAAAATGTAAAAAAAGGAAAAAGATGAAGTGGTCCTGACCGTGCCTGGTCTTGGGTAAGGGATTCTTCCCTCATATTCCACCCAGCGATGGTCAGGTCCCTCCTTATGAGCATACGGGCCATTAAACACAGCACGGATATTCTCCATGTTGTACACACACACTGCTGAGCCCTTAAAAATGGAGCTGATGGAACACAAACACACAGAAACAATGATAACATATATAGTAAACTTTCATAGAAGGGACACATTGTAAACTTTACCACATACACAGTGTATTTCACAAAGCGTTTTGATTTACATTTGCACAAAACTATGTTCTTTAGCTTTATCACTCTCTGTGACACTTGGCAACATTTTAAAAACTTAACAAGAGCAGAAGGCCTCTGGTCTATGAAGGTGGACTGCAGTTATGGAATCAGAGCTGTGTATGAGCTGTGTTTGGACATTCAGCTTTCGGGTGATGATAACAAACTAAGCACGTGGCACTATAAGACTCTTAGGGCAGTAAACACTAAGGGAAGCCAGACCTCTGGACAGGTTTATATTCTCAGCTTTCTTGGATGAAATCTGAATTATCTAACTGCAAAGGTCCAAACACTGTTGCACTGACAGAAATAAAAAATGCTAGACAGAGATTACCTGGTAGTAGTGAAGACTCCATACACTTTAGGATTCCTCTCATCTCTACTGGGGAGCAGAAAGATGTCCTCTGTAAGGTACAAACACACACAAAGTATATGTGACAGCCTGTTTTGCAATAGTAAAAACATAATGAAACCTGGACGTATAAAACATAGTCTGGATAAACACATCTAAAAAATACAGATACTGTGCAAAAGTAAATCTTCCATTTTATTTATTTTCCAGTCAAAACAGTCATTAAGTTATTCATTTTCAAGCCTCAGGAAAAATCCATGAAAACCTGGCAGACCACCAAAACTGTCACTATCACATTAACAGTACTTAAAGCATTCATTTTTGCGAGACAGGAGAAAATCAAGCTCCACTCTTGCTTTAGACATGAAAAGATCCACAGGTGTTTCTGTCCATCCTTCCACTGTGAGAAGACAACTCAATGCTATGGGTCTGAAAGGATGTGTAGCTGTCAAAAAAACATTAATGAGAAAAAGAAATAGATAAAAAAAGAAGAAAATTTGCATTAGCACACAGAAACTAGACACATGAGATGTGGAGTAAGGTTTTACGGACTGGGTCTAAATTTGTAATTGGGACTTCTACTTCACAAGAAGCAGAAAATGCAACCAACTTCTAAGACTGAACTTTTGTCCCTGTAAATTTCTTTGAAAAAACTCCCTGTAATACAGACAAAGGGTAGACACACTAAATACTAAAATATTTGATTTTATTTTTAGTTGTTGAGATTTCTGTGTAATATTCTGTTTTATTCTGTTATTTTTCATTGTGTTTATTTTGACAGAGTCTGTTTAAAAATCTGTTTTTTTATTTGTGTTTTTTAATGTTCAAAACAGAATAATTTGTACTCAATAGCCATTTTGACTGGAAATGGAAATTGAATAAATAAGAGGCCGGTCTCTGACTTTTGCACAGTAGGTAAGACAAGACAAGTTTATTTAAACAGCATTTTTCATACACTGTGGTCATTCAAAGTGCTTTAGAAATGATAAAATACAAAGATAATTCAAATTATAATTTAAAAGTAAAATAAAGGAGAAGAAAAATTAAAAAGATAATTAAAACATGATTAAAACAATAGAGTTTAAAAAACAAGAAATTAATCATTTATTTAAAATCAAATGGAAAAATAAAAAAGTACTGTATTTGTAAAAGAAATAATCAGAACTAATACGCAAACTATCTTTTCATGATTGGGTGTGTGCAGCTGGCTGTGTGTAAAATCCCCCAACTTACGGAGCTCATCAAAGTGTGTATCCACTCCATCTGTTCCTGGAATGGAACACACAAGGCGGGCCTTGAGGAACGTTGTCCACTTATTGGTCAGACTTCTCAAACCTCCCACATCATTCTGAAACATACAAACATAAACACATGCGCATGGGCCAGGCTTCATAAATCTGTCTCATCATTCAACCAGCAGCTTTAACAAACTGTTACTTTTTATTTTATAGACTTCATAAATAAACTTCCATTTACAAGGTGAAGCGCTCCATCTGTCTCTGATTAGCCCAGCTTATTTAACTAAGAGAGAGTAGGGAGGATGGCTAACAAACATCAAATACACACAGACCCTTTAAACAGAGAGCAGAAAGAGACAGGGACTTGCTGTCTGAATCTAATTTCTTCTGTTCCATACTAGGGCTGTTATGATTACTCAAAAAAAAAGGGATTCAAATGAACCTTCTTGGCAATGATTAGTTAGCGGCCTGCATGGTGATAATACATGATAATGCATATTTTAAATCCTGCAGGTCTTTCTTACAATTAGAAATATTGATTTTCTAAATGAAAAAATGTACGCATCTTCTACAGAGGTCACTTCTGCACATTTTAATGCACAACCATTGTTTATTTGCTGAATTGAACATGTTGAACTGTTAAACTAAAGCAAATTAAGATAAAAATGTACACTAAAATTTGCAGTAAAGTGGCACATTAAGGTTTTGTGTTTAATGACCTTACACACCGGCCACTTCATTAAGTATACCTCCTTGTTTCTACGATCATTGTCCTTTTTATCAGCTCAACTTACTGTAGAGGTGCACTTTTCAGTTCTACAATGACAGACTGTAGTTCATCTGTTTCTCTGCATACTTTGTTAGCCCCCTTTTACCCTGTTCTTCAAAGGTAAGGACCCCAAAAGGACCACCACAGACCACCATTATTTGGGTGATGGGCCATTCTCAGCACTGCTGTGACACTGACATGGTGGTGTGTTAGTGTGTGTTGCACTGGTACAAGTGGATCAGACACAGCAGTGCTGCTGGAGTTTTTTTTTTTTAACAGTGTCGCTGCTGGACTGAGAATAGTCCACCAACCAAAAATATCCAGGCAACAGCGTCCCGTGGGCAGCGTCTTGTGACCACTGATGAAAGACTAGAGGATGACCAACATGAACTAGATGAACTACTGTGTCTGACTTTACATCTACAAGGTGGACCAACAAGGTAGGAGTGTTTAATAGAGTGGATAATAAGTGGACACAGTGTTTAAAAACTCCAGCAGCACTGCTGTGTCTGATCCACTCATACCAGCGCAACACACACTAATGCCACCACCACATCCTCTAAAGAGAATGATCCACCATTGAAATAACACTTGCTCTGTGAATGTCCTGTAGGGGTCCTGGCCACTGAAGAACAGGGTAAAATGGGGTTAAGAAGGTATTCAGAGAAACAGATGGACTACAGTGTGTGATCTTAGAACCACAAAGTGCACCTATATGGTAATTGGATCTGACAAAATAGACAAAGTGTAGATGCACAGCATTTTGAAATTTTTGCTGTTGTTCAGGCCATTTCTACTGTGTGGTTTTAAAATAAAAAATCGAGTGCTCAATTAATCATCAAAATGATGGGTATATTTCTCAATTACTAATAAAATTGATAGTGACGGTCCTGTTATAAAAACTCATCTGTAGAACTCTAAGAAGGACTGATGACAATGAGGGTGTGGTGCAGATGCAGCTGTGTGGAACAAGGGGTGTGCTGCATATAAGAAGAATAATGACTCTCTTTCATTACTTCACAGGCTCAGGTTAAAAGGTTGTAGACAGTTGACAATAGCAGAGAGTCTGTCACTTAGAGAGGACACTCATGTCAATTTCCTTGTTATTCCTCAAAAGGGTTTGATCAAATGCCTCAATTGATGCCTGAATACTTCAGTCCATAAGGCCATTCCTTTCTTGGTCATTATGGATGCCGAATAACACATGCACTTGAGAGAGAGGAAAAAAGGGGAAGCACAAAGGAGGTTTAGGAGTAGCATTTTCTAAACGCTTTAATCTTCAAAGATGCTCTCTCCAGAGTGAGTGCTGTTACCCAGAGAGGAATCTGGCCCCAGCTAGCTTTACAGCTCACTCTCAAAGCTGTAAATGCTGCTGTGCTTCAGACCAAGAATTTTGCAATAGAGGTCGGAATTTTTATAGCACATAGGCAAAGGGAGCAGGGAAGGATGAAGCACAAAGTAAAGTACACAGTCTGCTCACCCCACACATCTGTTTATTAGTACATTTAAAAATGGAACTCTTAAGAGGCATGTAAGAAATGTAACACAAACTGTTAGGAGTGGCAATGGCAAATGAGCTTCTATATATATATATTCACTTCAGACAGCTGTAAGTGACCACTGCAAGTGAACAGTGTATCATTTATGTAATGTATTATAATGGGTGTTCAGGACGCAAGGATATTTCTTGATGTATTAAGGCTGCATATCACAATAACAGCCTTCGCAGAAGCTGTAATATGGAATATAATTAATACTTAATTTAATTGACCATTATTTGTCACTACTTCTACATTCAGTGCACTTTATAACCAGAAAGTGAAGCTATTTTATGTCTTCCTTTTTTGTGTGTGAGTGTGCATTTCTGTTGTGATGTAGCCATCATGAAGCCAAAGGCAAATTTGCAGAAATGGACAATAAACTTATTTATATGTCTGTCTCATGCAAAGGGACAAAGAGCAGCTCAGCACTCTCCTATCAGAATTAATGAGTCTAGTTAGCACGATTACAGCGCAGCACACAGGGAGCTCCACTGTCATCATGAACAATGACTCCGACTCAACTACACAGACAGACCTTTGGTTTGATTTTCCTCCCTGACAAGAGCGGTCTGGCCCGCTTTCAACAGATCACATCAAGTGGAAAGCACCAGAAAGCCTGCCCTCCCAGTGGGGACAACTAACTCATCTGATGTGCTGCAAAATGGACAGATCAGAGAAACAGCGGGACTTTTGTGATCGGGTGGAGCAAGGACGGCCGCGTGGGCGTTCTCACAGGGGCCCTTACCTTGCAGACGCGTGCTACACGGGACAGCACGCCTTTGTCCCTGGTGCTCCTGTCTCGGGACATCTCACGGAAGAAAAAGTAAATCTTGTCATCATCGGGATTGAAGGTGTCCGCGATAGGATGGGCTGCTATAAACTTGGCCTCTGTGGACACATGAGAAACACACCAGTGAGAACTTATTTACTGCCCTGCCAAAGTCCTTAAAATGAAATCCACAGAGACAAGAGAGAGAACAGAACAACTTAAAACCTTCAAGTAAAGTACACCGACTTGCCAAATAATTTGGTATGTCTTCATGGTACCTGCACTCACTGGTCAAGTATTACAGAGGTGCACTTTGTAAATTTACAATTACTGAATGTAGCCTAGGTGCTGCTGCACAGTTTGTCAGCCACCTGCTACACCATCCATCAATAGAAAGGCACTACCAAATGCATCGCAGGTCCACGAGACTGTATTGCTGGATGCACTGTTTTTTCCGAGTGAGTGCGCAAGCTCATACAGAGTGCATTTCAGATTCCCAAACACTTATTACTGTTTAACCAGAATAACAATAAATGACTGTTGAGTGACTTACTTTCCCACTCACGCATGTTCTAAAGACAAACTAAATAAAAATCTTAGAATTTCTGACTTTGTTAGATCACATTCTTCACTTATCAAATAACAATGACATCACTGAGAAGTCATGCGCTTAACAGAGAAGAGTGTCGGCCTTAAAGGGTTACACAGAGCTACAAACACTCTTGACACAGAGCGGCTTTGTATTTTAACCTGAACCTAGCAGTAACTGTAAGCCAGCTACACTGAGGAGAAGAGATGAATGTGGAAAGGCTGTGTTAGCAGTTGGATAGGTCTAAGGCAGGTTTGTGGTGAATATCATCATTATTACAGTCAAATCCAATTCAAACAGCGAAAACCATCATAGCTAATGCAGCACGACACCGACTCACATGAGCTGTGTTTTCCTAACACATTTATTTATGACTACAAGGCACTTACTGCCCCTAATAACTCATGTTAAGCCTCTAACTGATTTCCTCATTAAGTGCAGAGCACAAAGGAATACAGCATACAAGTATCTCACTTGGCTTTGAGGCTGTGAGTGACATGCAGCTCAGCTGCAGAGTGAGGATGCCATGATATAAATCACATGAGGCCTGAAAGGAAGTACAATGGGCTGAAGAGTGGTTGATCAAACATAAAGAGTAAACCATGCATCTGCACACACATCTTTTACTGTGAAGAAGCCTGTGAGAAAGGAGCTGGGTTTGGGTGGAGCTGGTACAGAAGTAGGTTAGTGTGAGAAAGTGTGTGGCATCACTTTTGCAGCGTCTGTGTGCTTGCCATGGAAATCTTAATTTGTCAGTGGTTTTTGGTTTTTCTCTCTCTCTCTGAAGCCTGTTTGTTTATGGGAGGTGGGGCTGGATCTCTGGTTTTTCGTTGATGAATGAGACAATTTGGTTGTAATTCACTTATTCTACTGTATATAAAGCAGACCTTTGTATTCAGTGACAGGGTGGAAGTCTGGAAAAAGCCTCCTGCACTGACCAACTTCAGGTGAGAATAAAAACGCCCACACGTGATGCATTCTTGCCATGACGCTGCAGAATTTAACATTACTAAAACAATTTTATTCAAGACCACAAACTGTACCATCACAGAAAAGGTCAGTTTGCTATGGGAATGCACCAACCCCTTTCAAATGTTCACACATAAATACATATATATATATATATATATATATATATATATATATATATAAGAAATGTTTATCTTTAAAGTATGTTTTAGCAAAAAGGAGCAAGATTTGATGAGGCATTTTAAGAAAAAGTTATTGTTTGCCATCTTGTCTTTCAGACCAGATGTGTGGAGCACTTGATATATTGCTCACATACTTTTATCTTATAACACAGTGACCAGAGTTTGCTATTAAGGCTTGTAATTCATCACAATTGGTAGTCTCTATAATCAGTCCTCTTCTTTGTCATCCAGTTTGCTTTGAAATGCATTTTTCAAGTGCTGCTTTTAATTTGAATTAATCAGAATCATCACAACTGATCACAGCTGAGTGAGTGTTTTATGTGGAGTCTGTAAGGTGACTGGTAAGGTATTTTACTGATGTAGTCTTAATTCACTAACAGACTATTCTGCATTTTTTAACTTGACTAATGCAGGTATGCGTATGAATACAACAGAATTAAGCCTATTTATTTTTTTTTTCATCGTTTATATAGTTTGGAAGGTGGTAATTTCCTTTAGGCGTGGTGAGTAGTGCTGTCGCTTCACATCAAGAAGGGCCTGGGTTCAATTCCCTGGCCTGGTGACCAACATCCTTTCTGTGTGGAGTTTGCATGTTCTCCCTATGTCTGCGTGGGTTTCCTTTGGGTGCTTCGGTTTCCTCCCACAGTCCAAAGACATGCTGTCAGGTGAACTGGAGATGCAAATTTCCCCTAGGTGTGATTGTGTGTGTGAATATATATGTCTGTCTGCCTGCCTTGCAATGGATTGGTGACCTGTCCAGGGTGTTTCCTGCCTTCTGCCCAATGACCGCTGGAATAGGCTCCAGCACCCCCCGCAACCCAGAAAGATAAGTGGCTTGAGATAATGTAGGTGTGGTGTGTGTGTGTGAATATATATATGTCTGTCTGTCTGGCCTGTGATGGATTGGTGCCCTGTCCAGGGTGTTTCCTGCCTTCTGCCCAATGACTGCTGGAATAGGCTCCAGCACCCCCCGCAACCCAGAAAGATAAGTGGCTTGAGATAATGTATGTGTGTATGTGTGTGTGTAATTTCCTTTACCTGCAACATCAATAATTCTTCATGTTTGGTTTAACATTTTGATTGAGTTTATTTTGCTGTACACCTTTATTAGCAACTCAGTAAAATGGATTAGTAAAATACAGTGGGGCTCTTGTTTGTGTGTGAGTTAGTGCAGCACTGTAGTGGCACTGTATGTGTCTGTATAGGGTTCACTAACCGTTGATCCAGTAGTCCTCTGAGATGTCAGTACGGATGTAGTGCTGGTCTGGAGGAGGACCAAGAGAACGGCTAAATGTGCTATCCTTCCCCAGGAAATCAGATGCTGTACCAGCATACAGATACTGATCTGTAAACAGACACACATCAGATTCAGAAAGGATCAGAATATCAGGAAGACATGACAGAAAAATCCCTTCATGTTACTAATTTTATTTAGTGACAAACATGTTAATTCAGCAGTAAAAATCTGGATAGTTTTCTGTGTTAAATGTGATAAATATTCAGTGTTGAGAAAATGACGTGATTTTTATTTTTTGCCATAGTATCATTTTGGTATTAAGCATGCTACACTTGGTATTGGCACTGAAGTCAAAAATCTAGAATCCTGAGGACCCTACCTAAGACCTCTTATAGGTATATGAAAACAATAATTTAGAATTCTGTGTGCACCCTTTCCTCACTCTCTCTCTCTGTTTCTCTCTCTCTCTCACTCTCTCTTACTCTCTCTCTCTCTGTTTCTCTCTCTCTCTCTCTGTTGTTTGATATGTGACCCCAGCTGAGATGAGCGATCTTTTCAAGACTGCATAAACAATTTACTCTCGGTCTCAGCAGTCTCCATAGTAACCACCACAGTAGAACTTTGAGAATGTTAGCTAACGTCATAGAGATGTCGGCTCAGAGTAAAATAATCATCAATCGGACATCACTCAGATGGTCCTCATACTGCGGGGAATAACAAACACACACATACACCATCTCAGTGAATGATATCTGCATGAAGGCTCATGCAGGGTTGTGGGTTCAAGCTGATGGGAGCTTTGTATGGTTTGGAGATGAGCAGTTCATCGAGAAAATGGACTAATGGATATTTGCTGGGTAGAGTCATGGGGTGAGATTTGAAGGGAGGTTCACAGACATAAATTAAACATATATAGCAGCCATTATGTGCACAACCACTAATATACATGTGTTTATTTTCCTCCCTCTCTCTCTCTTTCTCTCTGCCCTGTCTTTTTCTGCCTTTCTGTGTCACTCTGATCTTCTTTTGCTGTTGAATCTCCGCCTCCTATCCACCCATCCCTGCGTGTGTGTAGGCATGTTTTGTTATACATCTTTAAAGAAGAGGGCGGGGGGTTTAGGGGTGTGATGGTTTGCACCTCCTTGCTAGCTTTGACCTCTCTGCTCTCCAGTAAAGTTTTAAAGTCCTATTCCCTCAGTTGAATCTTCCTTTAAAGGCTACAGTGAGGCTATTCAGCTTTTACAGTATCTGTAAACCCTTTACTTTGACTGCTGGTGGTGGAAAAACAGACCTGTATGTTTTGAGCTGAAGTTACAGGAATGCAAACATTGTATCTAAGCTGAAGGTGAAGAAGACCTGCATTATGATAAATGACTGTAATGAATTTTGCTGTGAATGAGACAGAAAGACAGTAAAACAGTACAAAACTCACCAGTCAGTACTGAAGCAAAAGGCTGGTGGGGGTCAAAAGGGCATTTTAGCCTGCCGGACTCCATACTGCTGCTGATCAGGTGAAGCCAGCCATCCTTTAACTCACATAATACACACAAAGCAAAGTTTACACCCAGGAAAGGCTGTAGTACAACTTCACATAATATGTCAGTTTGTTATCATTAAAGTGATACAGTATGTCACAATATGGTTTTCTGAGCATGGTGTCATCAGCACTTGTAAAACACTGAAGAACTGTTTGAGTTAGAAAAGGGCAATATGCTTTTCTGAGTACATCATGGATATCGTCAGTACATAAAGAACACTGTCCAACTGCATGATTCATTACAAAGAGAGCATAATTAGTCCTGTTTGATTGTTTGTGAAAAATTGTCCTTGTGCCCAGATGTTTGATGGCAGGTTGAACATGTGGCACTACTAGTGAAAATGTCTTTATGTATCACAATATGATATTTTTGCCATTTACCAGCTCCTTTTCTTTGCAAATGCTTGTAAATATATGTATCATGATAATGTACTTTTGCCATATCGCCCACCCTTACTACAAACTGCAACCAGAAGAAAACTCAGCATTTATATACTACAATACTATAGCATTTACACCATGAATGTCTGAATGAGCAGTATGCATCAATAATCTATAATCTGATCTCTCACCTCTTTGTGGCCCCTGACCTCCAGGAACGCACAGGTGGGGTGGAAGGCTCCAGTGCCACATGCGTAGATATGAGTACGGTTATAGTTGTGCAGAACCCGAACAAAATTGGCACATTCAGTCTGAGAGAGAGAGGAAGAAAGAGAGAGAGAGAGAGAGAGAGAGAGAGAGTGTGTAATTGGGTGAAAGTACAAAAGGCCAAAAATAGAGTCTGTGCAAGGACTGCTCACAGCCATATAATTGTAAAACTATGTAAAACTCTCCTTCACAAGCAGTTTAATGAGAAATAGAGAGCTGAGTTAGGGAAGACGGTCAGTTTGGTGAAATATTTGTATAACAGTAATATAGTCTGGGTGTTACTCACAAGCGGGTTTTTGCCAGCCAGAACACACATATCCACCCTGTCTCTGGGAGCTGGCCAGCTCAGCTGAAAGAGAAACACACACACACACACACACACTAATAAAACACAGCATAATCTCATAACTTTACTATTGGCACTATTTAAGCCAAACAGCCAAAATACTTTTTCATACTTCCTGAAGACTGTGAATAAAATCGACTGTTGTCTATATTTCCCATAACTACGATTTCCAGGTGTCTGGTTTTTGGAATGGACAGTCAGGTTATGAGCTCCACTGCCCAGTGTCTGGTTGGTGCTGTCAATCAGACATTATAATATCTGTTTGAGTCTCACTTTAACCCCTATGCAAAGCCAACAACCTTGCCTGCCCCCCTTCCCTTGCCTGTCTGTACTCAAGATGAGTGGCGGTACCAAAGAAATAGTAAAATCTTGTTACATTAATATACATTTAATTCAACAAGCAAAATATATCAAAGACATGGGGGGCATGGGAAAGTACTTATTTGGTGCTTGCTGGAAACACCTCACCCTAAACCACCTCCCACCTTCCCTAGCATATCAGGTTCCCGAAATTTATTTGTGGTACCAAGGAAATCGTACAAACTCACATACTTAGTTACAAATTAAATTCCAAAAAAGTTGGGACAGTAGAAAAAATGTAAATGAAAACAGACAGCAATAAAATGTAAATTCTTCTTGACCTGTGTTCAATAGTATATAGATAAGATATTTAAAATGTCAACTAATTAACTTTTTATTATTATTTTTTTGTACATATATACTTATTATAAATTTGATGCCTGCATTATGTTCCAAAGAAGTTGGGACAGGGTGCGTATTTACCACTGTGTCCTTTTTACAACATTCATTAACCATTTGGGAAGTATTTGAGGACATCAATTGCTGTAAAAAGTGTAATATTGCCCCTTCTTGCTTGACATAACACTGCTCAACAGTCTGGGGTCTCAGCTGTTGTAAAATGCGCTTCATTATGTGCCATACAATTTCAGTGGGAGACAGGTCTGGACTGCAAACAGGCCAGTCTAGCACCTGCAGTCTCTACAAAGACACATATGTGCCCTTTACCAATAATGGTGCCTTCACGGATGTTGGTAACAATCAGGATGGTCCCTTTCCTCTTTGGCCTGGAGAACACAACATCCATTTTTTCCAAAACAACTTAAAAGGTGGACTCATCAGAACACAGCACATGTTTACACTCCCCAACTTTTCTGGAATGTGTTGCAGGCATCAAATTTAGAATTAGCATATACTCATATATATGGCATTCTCCTCTTAGAAAAGTTACCAGTTTAGAGATACCAAGATTTACTATGGTAGTAACAAAACAGGAAAAACACAAAGTATTAAATGTATTTACGGTGTATTTTTTATATTCTTTACAAGAAATAAAATGTTAATGGAGATCATGTCAACCCAGCACTGCTCTCCACTGAGAGTGAGCCTAAGAGAGAAAGTGATCTGTATCATGTTCACCCTTTCTGTGCACACATGTGTTATAAAAGGCTTAAGTGCTTAGCATGTACAGGGTTGACCTTTAACCTTAACCTCCCCAAGAGCCATCTCCACATGTAACACACAATCCCACAAACCCCTCTGATTACATTCAATCACACACGCTCGTGAGACGACTTTACACAGCCACTCTTTAAAGCTGCGCATGGTAACACAGTCCAACAAGAGCTCTCATTAACCACCTACAGTTTCCTACACATGCTCACACACACTAGGATGCCAGACACACACACAATTGTGTTGAAGAACTGGAGACACGCACAGTTAAGAGCATTAACTGTACCTTCTCACACACAAGCCTACACTGCATGAAAAACATAACAAGGCAATTATGCACTAGGGCACAACTCATATATATGGGCTGGCTGATAAAATCGGTCAATAAAAACTTTCAATAGATTAATCAACATTGGCCAAAATCTTATTAATAAAACACCAGTAAGGTCAGGAGCTTTTGTCAAGTAGTAGAAATTTGTCAAGTTTTGTACTTAACATTTCTTATGACAGTTAATTAAATTTAATAAATATATAAATAAAAGTTATAAAAAAGGTTACAGAAAATTGATGAGATACATACATAGTTTATTTATGAACAATACTTTACCTTGAATATACTCTCACTTGCCCACCCAACAACTCACATTTGCCCACCCAACAAGCTTTAGAGAGGAAGGGAAAGCAAAAGGTTTTATGAAGAAGAAAGAAATGCAGAAATAAAAGCCATGAATGAACAAGTATTGAACTGGTAATTCTTTAAAAAAGAGAGACTATTGTCAAAGCTTTTGATTCCAGAAACAAAAGTAAAAAAAAGGAGGTCCAGGTGTGAAAATAGAGGGGTAGAGTAACAGACACCAAATGTTCATATTGGTGAGCCCCTAATATGCACCTACCTCACACATTCCGGTACAAACACTAGCGTGTGCTTTGAGAGATCTAAGAAACAGGGTAGGGAGTTGTTTGCACTGCCAGCTGTTGTTAGTCAACGCAGCTGCATCTGGTTATTTAGATAGGTCAGGGTGGAGCACATTTTTCTGTCTTATGCGCCTGTGTTGATGCAGAGCATGGAGGAAATATAGACTGTAGGAAAGTAGTATTATGTGTGAGGAAGCATTTCTAAGAGTCCTTTATAATTATCTATTCTGGCCAAAACTTTTTCTGTAAATATAGCCTGAAATATGACACTCTCTTTACGCCCTCTGTACATACAGCAGTGCTGTGGTTTGGATGTTTTTTTCAGACTGTGTCTATTTGTGAGTTCATGTGAGTTCATGCAAATGTATGTGTGTCATGACTGACTGAACAAGCTTTTAAAAAGTTTCCCTTCATCAGCTCAGTGCAGTTTGATATAGTATGTTTTACATCCAATTTTATAAAGAAAAGCTTGCAACATACACAATAACTTTTGTTTTAAGTGTGTGAATGGTAGCCTGTGTGTGTGTGTGAGACCTATGAACATGAGCAAGAGATGGGCCTGACGCATGTTCACTGCTATGTTGTAACTGTCATACAGCTATTGTAGCAGTAGTATCCCATGTCGCCATGGTGACAGTGATTGGCAGGAGTGATAGAAGTAGGGTCAGTGGGATTCAGAGGAACTGAAAGGCTCTATAGAGCGATGCCGTGGGAATATCGAGATGTGACAAGTGTGCTGTGTTCCTTTGGTTTTAATATGGGAGATGGCTGCCTATACTCTGTTGCAGACGTGAGGAAATTATGCGTAAGCACATCCACTCACAGACATACATGCACAATAAGAAAGCATTACCTCATCCTCACAGACATTTCTGAGCTAAACACTCTCACGCGCTCATCATTCTGTGCATTTCCATAGGATTAGCATAGGCTGCAGTTTGTAAATTTGTTCTTGGTGTGCTCAGGCCTTCCTTAAATCCCCAGTCCATTCAACCACTTCACTAGACTGTAGCAGAAAGCCAAAAAATTAACTTCAAATACTGACTATAAAATAATTTATTGTGACGCAATACAGACTATAGACTATTATTTACTTGCTTACTTATATTTCACCCAACCACTTTTTTTTGCATTTTATTACTTTGCATTGCCCATGTGGTTTCAAGGTAACTGAGGTGAAGAGATGGGCCATCTTTAACATATTAAAATCTTTCAATAAAAATATACTTTTAATCATTGCCAATATTTTAGCATAATTTTCTGGATTTCTGTTAGTTATCTTAAAACATGATTCGGAAGATCTACAATTCTGTATGGTTATAATAGTTGGACTTTGACTCGGCTCTCAAGCTGTCAGTCTGTCTGTTAACGTTCTTATTTATCAGTCACAAGAGGAGGCAAAACATGAGGTTACACTTTAAGAACGAAGGGAAGGAACATCATTAAACTTGCAAACTAGCCAGCAACCACATTCGTTACAACACTGCTATTAAAACCAGAACAATTTCCACATGTTATGAAGAAAGACAGGCTTAATTGCGCCACTATAGAAATATTCAAATCACCACCTCATTCCAAATATTTAACCCAAATTTATGTCCTTGAGTTAGGGTGAGAAGATAAACACTGGCTGAACAACAAAGCTGCTGTGGAAGAGTAGTGCTCAGCATTTGTGACACTGTGACCTTGTTTTTGATCCATTTTCATTTCATTTGCTTTGCTGTGTGATACACCCTGTTAAAATCGCAGTGCTACAACACTATATACACAATAACACGCTGCCAGATGGACATACACATAAAGAATCACCAAGGAGAAGAATGAAAAATAATGTGCTTGAATCTAACACAGTCCTAATCTGAGAAAACAGACATAACATCACAGCTCACTAAACAACTACATGTGTTGTTTAAAACTGTAATTAATCACGATTGTGTCTAATGTAACAACATGCCATGTTCTGTTGTTGCAACATACTGTTTGACAGACAGAGTGCCCTCCCGTGCAACGTGAAAGACACTGTGTGTTTTTCTGGATGATTCCATGGAACAAATTCCTCACGTTTAGCTCCAGAACACGCATAGCTAAAGTTACTGAAATGCTTCTCAAATTGACCTGATTCTGCATGTCTGCAGGTGTGCAGGCGTTTCTGTGAGCGTCTGGGTGAGCGTCTGTGTGAGTGTGTGTTTGGGTAAATGTCTGCGTGTGTGTGGGTGTGTGTGTGTACGCACCTTTCTAGGATGCTTGTTGATGTTGTCTGGGTCCAGTAGGTAGATGTGATCTTTGGCCCCCAGAAGGAGTCTGCTCCTCTCCTCATCCAACAGGAATGTCTCAAACTGCATTCCATCACTGGATCCCACAAATGGCACCACACTGCCAGAGTGAAGCAACTCTGCAAAAGAGAGAAAGCCATTAGCAACACCGAACAGACCAAACAGACTAGCCCAGCTCACACTGCACTACACTAGACAAGCAAGCAATCAGACAAGGTTTAGCATTCACATGGATACCTGTACACCTATTGACTCTCATAGTCGCTCCTGGAACACTTCAAAAATCCATACTGCCTAACCAAATACAATAAAAATGAATTGAAAAAAATGTGTTCTTAAAAAACTTGATTTGTTGTAGATCATCCTGTCTGCTCACATAAAAGAGGAAAACCACAACAAACGTTTAAAAGTTTATGTTTCAACAAGAAAATGTACGATGCCACTCAGTTCATTAAGTGAAATTCATGCATGATTCAAAACCCACTGAGATCTTGGAGGCTACACTGAGAAGTTTCTTAAGAAAAATCCAACCATGATGGACCAATTATTGCAATAAGCCTTTATAAATGCTTATGTATGTTTATGTCGGTTGTCATGAGGAGCTTATATAGATGCCATTTAGCCTTATCACCACTGCCCTACATAAAGTGTTTCCAAAACAACTTTAGGACAGTACGACAAAGAAGCATGAGGTTGTCTCCAAAACTAGAAGAACTACAAACTGCTGATAAACACTTTACTGCCAAAAAGAACTGATCTTTTTTTCTCTGTCAAAGACACACCAAAAATAGAAGGAAGCACACAGATCCTCTAGTCTTGTAGGTTCTCTAGCATTGAAGACAACCTCCCACTGTTTTGACATACTTTCCTAAAGTTTTAAAAATGATTTAATGAACTGCTTCCACACATTCTTCACTGCTGTCCACAGGCCATCCACAGAGGCTGTATTTTCCTTCTCCACACATTTCCCAAGATTTCAATTGGTTTTAAATCGTGCACGAATTTCACTTTATAAACTGTGTGGTGTCTCACATTATCTTGTTGGAATATCTATTCTTTGTTGTAGTTTTCCTACTTTAAGTGAACAGACAGGATAAACACATAAAAACAGTAAAGCATCAGTGTATGATATATTCCTATTGTATGCCAGGGTCTTTTTCTTCATCCTCACTACTCCTTTTGTACACACACACACACACACACACACACACACACACATACACACACACACACACACACACACACACAGACGCACACACTCTTTACACATTCTTCTACATGTGAGCACACTGTGATTGTCTCTATGCACCACATACTTACAAAATATATAATACCGGAAACAAGTGCAGGTGTGAGTGTGTATCAGTCTCATTATAGTGAACTAGATGAGCCTGAGTCTATCATCTTGCCCTGATAGCAGAGCTTTGACATTCATTTTCTTGAGGTAAGGAAACAGCACTTTAGCACATTTTATTCTGTACAATGTGCCATAATATCTGGGTAGATCTGTCATCCTAGGGCTCAGATTCCACTCAGATAAAAATGTCCCTCCTCTCTTTCTGTTAAACTTCTTAAGTGCATGAGCTGCCTTCCTCTAGCCCTCACCCCGCCTAAATAACACATGCAAACCAAATCTATGAGATCAGAGCCTAGCTATTCACTGGATTCTAATGTGTCTGTCTATCGTTCAGCACTACTAGACATCAGCCTGACTGGCCATTTACATTGCACATGCCTCATGTTCCAGCTTTGTCACTCCCTGAGGGTGAAAGACACATTAAATTATAGCTGTTTATGATCATAACTTAGCAGCAAAACCAAACAGTATTGACAGAGGGAGAGGGGCCAAAATATTATCACATTCACATTCACACAGCACATGCAACTCAGATTCAAATACCAAAGCAATTTTTTTAAGGAAAACAACAGCATGCTATTGATTACTGCACACTTAAACATGAGCATATCTTCCCCATATATATACAGAGCCGTCTAAATAATTCATGCTTTTGGATCTGTTTGGTATGCTCAGTTTCAGCACACTGTCTCTACAGGCTTGGACAGATACCATGAAATCACTCCACCTCTTGCTTTTGGAATTTCTCCCTCTGAACTTGGAATTCTGGGACCAAAACGCTCTTTTAACAAAATGCATTCATTTGCACTTACTTTCTGTTGTTAATTTTCATGGCCTACATTCCTTTCACTCAGTGTTTTTCTGTTCCTGATTTTCCCATCTGTTGTCTTCTCTATGTTTCAAAGTGAAATCTAAATTTAACTCTTTAACTTTGTTAGTTCATGTCCCTGATCACATTAAGAACAAAACATCATATCAATTCATAACATTTACATTATCATTTATGCTTTAACTGCAGAAATTCCTACCACTTAGCCCTTAGCCTTCTGTTCTGCGTGTTCGTGCCTAGGGGTAGGGTGTCCTGATTTTTGTTGAGATAGAGGGGTCGGGCGAAGTATTACGGCTATATGGGCCTTCACACAAAGGTTTTTCAGAGGCACACTCCAAACAGAGTGTTATGAGAAAAAAGAAAAATCGGCAAGATGGCTGCACAAGTGACTAAAGAAACTGAGTATTTTGACTATTAAAAATTACAATAACCAATGTATTGTCTTAGTTTAGTGACATTTCAATGTATTATGGTCCTCTTCTTCATAACAAGCATAAAAAATCACTAATGGTATGCTAATGTCTCAGTAGCTAGCTAATTTCCTGTTCCAACAATAGTCCAGCAGTTCTGATGCCTTAAGTGCCAGAATGTCACTGCTGCTCCATTTAAGGTGGAACAGGAAAATACAAACAAGAAGCTGGCGAATAACTGACTTTAACTTCGTATCACTGAAGAAACTCAGTTCCAAGGGGCAAGGTGACACTCAAAAACTAGGGGTAGGGGTAAAAATAAGAAATGAGATTGGGCCTAATACTGTGCATCCTTGGTGATGACAAAAGTATGGAGTTTTTGTTACTACGTGACATGAAACCAGAACTTCAGACTGAATCAAATGTAAGTCTTATTTATTATATACCAAACAATGTAATTAAAAATGCATGAATACATTAACATTTGAATAGTACAGTAAAATTAAAGTACTCTCAACTTCTCCGACTTTGTACCTCGCACCCGTTTTTTCCTTCATTCTGGGTTTAGCGTAGGTATACAGCAGGCCTACATCCTGTTTAAACATCCATAGCATATGCGGTCATGTCTGTAAGTGTTATGAGACAAAAAAGTCCAGGTATATGCTGTCTAAATGTGCAGTGGATTGACACAACCATTATTCCTGAGGTGTGAGGGTCTTGGGTAGGTTACCCACAATCAATATTTATACAAAGACACCCTCTGAAAAAAGCATACTACACCTCCATTCTGCTAACCTCAGCCTAGCTTTCGCTAATCTACTCTACAAACAGTGTCAAGTCTGAGCTCTGCTGAAAGATTCCCGCAACACCCTATCTGTGGCTAACTCTCAGGAGACTCAACCCCTAACTCCCACTCAACAGACCCTGATTAGACCTAGTACTGAAGCTAATCCCTCTGTTTGTTTATGAGAGACAGTGTAGCATGCTGAGTCCTTGACGCTAAGTCTTATGCCACAGTTGCGTAAGCAACATTACATGGATCGCTACTCAGAACATTGTGTTTTCGGGGGAGATTGTTAGAGTGCAAGTAAGTGGTTAGCGAGTGTTTTCTTAGCTGCCACCAAGCCTTGCTCTCTCATCAGCTTTAGTGTGAGCATGAGGGAATTCCAACTTTCTTTCACAAATCTTAGCCTGATATAGGCCAAGCAGCTCACAGACACTTGTGCAGACCAGTTAACTCTTAGAATTTGCTCACCCTGTGTAAATGGACAAAAATAGGTTTATCAAAATATAAAAAAATGCTTTATATAGTTATTCTGAAACTTACTTTGATACTGTCACATTTTTATTTATAAATTTTGTATCAGATGTAAAGGGATCTAGGTTGTTGGCTAGTTCTCAGTTCACAGACAATGTAATACAAGGCTATTTTCACATTACAAGCCATAATGTTCAACTCCAATATTTTGCTTTCTGTAGGAGCACAGCCTAAGTGTCCAAGTTCAGAATCTCAGCACTGCAAAAAAATGATATCTTGTTAAGTGGAATTCTATTAAATCTAATCAATTATTTTGAGATTGTTGTAAGAATATTCTAAAGTTGTTAACTATTTATAGGCATTTTTACCTTTTTTACCTTAGTTATTTTAACTAGTGAACCTGTCTTATATTATTGGCATATATTCTTTTTTTGAAACAAGCTAATTTATCTGTCAGTAGAATAAGACAATATCTACAAAATATCTAAATAAATGGAATGATCTTATTCCATTCTTAAAACAATCTCATAATGAGAAATGATGAAAAGATGTTTTCACTGTCCAAGACATTTTTTTTGCAGCAAGTGCTGTTAAAAGCAAACATAGCATTACTTTAGAGCTAATGTCAGAGAGAGCAAGAGGAAAATATTACTTACTGTAATTCACAGGGATTGCAAGTCAGCATTTTATCTCCAGTTAAAAGTCTAATATAAGGGAGTGGAACAAAGTAAATTTTTGCCTAATAAACTCAGCAGTAAATAATGATGATCCACATCAACCACCAAATGGTTGCTCACTGAAAAATGATGATACATCACCAACCAATGTTCTTCTGCTGAAACAAGCCAACTGTTTCAGTCTAGAAAATCAGCACTGTCCAAAAAAGTTAAATATCTATCTCCAGATTTCCAACTTTACACGAAAAGGCAGAAACTTTCTTAACTTTTAATGCAAGTTAATGCAAAGTGATCTTATTCCAAGTAATGTTGGAGCATTTTTATTGATGCATTTATCATGAAATTTAGACACAGTCTAAAGAACAGTTGCTGTGTTCAAATGATGTAGAAAAATAAAAGTAAAAAGTGGAAAAATATGTTTTGTTTTTTTGGACAGCAATAATATTTTTCAAATCATTTTCTCTTGTATATGCGTATGTGTGAGCAAGCTATATTGCGTAGAAATCTATAAATCTATGTGTATACATTCTTCATTTCCCATGAGGCTTGCAGACCCTCCCAGCCCTTTCTGTCAAATGCCGCTACATATATCCTACTCACAAAACAATCCTTAACATCAAACCCCCTGAGTAGAAATGCTGACCTTCACTGAAATAATTACATTATAAGGGCAACAAAATGCTTCACTGTGATTGATCCGTATTCTCAGAGTACTGACAGTGGGGTGAAATGTGATGTTTGATTCAGTCAGTGCAACCCAAATGTTCTTTCTCTTCTTTTTCCCAGCACATGCATGCATACATGAGCGATCCCATGCTTGACTAGCCTTTAGGTGTGAAGTTCAGTGGATCTGATGTGTTCCATTCAGAGCTACATTCTTCAAGAGAAAAGGGGTCTCTGTTTTTGAGGTGTGCACTGACACAGAAAAGGTGCTGATGTTTTTGAAGAGTTCACTGACTCAGAGATGATGGATCTGGGATGATTTCGCTGCGGCCCCCCCGACTTCACCAAAAGGACCAAACATGGACAGAATAACACAGCTTTTCGCTTAGATATACAGCATCAGTTGACAGGAGCTTAAAGGATGTGGTGAGCATCTTCTGCTGAATTAGCCCAGGTGTTCATTCACAACAGGCTTTAAAGGACCCCTGTGATGCGGGCTTAAAATATCACGTTTATTAAAAAACAGAGCTTTTACCTCTAAGTGACTCCAAGCTAATGCCAAATATGACAAATGCATCTCATTTCTCATTGGTTTCAGTCATCTGGTTGCAACTTATGTTGAGGCTTGCAGACATCTCAGACAGAGGACATTTTACATTACATAATCTTTTATGTTATGTGAGACCTGATCTTTTAAAGAAGGAAATTAAAGAAGGGAAGCAGTCCACCTCTTTAACAATTTCAGCAAGATCCCATTATTTCAATGACCCACTGACCTATTTCACACTTACTAATTAAATGCAATTCAGTGTTTCTAAAACAAGCAATGTGTTTCCTTGCACTGTCTCTTGCCCTAACAACGTGTTCTCTCTCTCATACCCAGGGTGAAATACAGGGTTTTGACAGCATATACTTACAATGTACTTATACACCCATATTTTCTGAATGCCAAAAAAGCTCAAAATAAATGGTGCATTCCCAGCAGTCGGTCATATTTTCATTGGCCTGAAGTTGTTGATGTAAACGAGGCTCTATTTTGAGTAGGGCTGGCCTGCTGGAGCACGGTCAGCGAGAGTTTTTGGGGAGCTCTAAGTTTTATTTCCCTCAGTGGCATAAAACAAACACGCCGCACGTTTGCTTAACTCCTAAAGCCACAGCAGAGACTGAACACCGGACAGAATGAAAGGAACACTGAGAAAAAGAAATAAACAACAAGACTTTAATCACTTCTTTTTGGGGTGGACAAAAGGCGTGATTAACAGATTTGCCACTTTGTCATTGCCATCGCTGTGATCGCCATGAAGATAAGATGCTCATCCAGTGCAGAGGCACAAGTTTGGCTTAAATGGACCATAAATACATACCACTCACACTCTACATACTAACATACATAGCGCTCTCTTAGGCTTAACTATCCATGTCCAACATGTGTCACTGTTTTCAAATAAATGAGTGCAAAGAGTCATTATTTGTTCACTAATGTTTCCTTTACGCCTCATAGATATTTATTCAGTAGCGTCACTCATGTTTATCTGGCTCCCCTTTAGTCCCATTATCCACACTGAGGGTGCTTGTGTGCTTGAGAGTGTGCGGGTGTACGTATGTGTGTGTATAAAAAAAAAAAAAACACTAATTGTCACTAAGACATGTAGGGCTGCTTTAATAATCACTATGAGCTAACACTAGCGCTTGATGACTAATATAATCCAGTTACAGCTGTAGACAGATCAAACACAAACAGCTGTGTATTATTTTTAGATCAACTATAAATGTAAAACTTATTCTAAAATTATAACATACTCAGTGTACTGCTGACTAATGCACTGAGTATGTACTTAAATTAAATGTAGTTTTGAGCAGTTTACAGTGTCAGCTGCACTTTAGCATGTTACAAATAACTAAGTGTGGTCAGGCAGAGGTTGAAACATAGCCAGGTGTAATGAGAGACCATGAATTCAAATCCAAACCCTTAAACCACATCAACATGTGGCATCTCTTTGATGCTGCCCTGCCCAAAAAATATAAAATCCTAAATGAAGCACGTGAGAATGTGTGCATGTGTGTTTGCTTTGTTTTGATCTCCTTATGAGAGGAAAATGTGAAAATGTCTAAGGTGGTTAGGATATTTTATTTGATCCCATGAGAAAAAAACACACATTTCAATTGAAAAACTAGAAAATTTAGAGTTACTATTAAGCTAAATTTCACCAATTTTTTAAAGATCTGCATAATTCAATTGTTGAATTGTTGCAAATAAAGTCATTCAGGCTAGTTCGATGTGAAATGGTTCATTGTACAGACTACAGTGGTGGTGGTAAGAACCAGTGGTTGCAGTGTCTACAACGCAAATATAGCCATTTTATTTAATATTCAAAGCCACCAGTGAACCTATATCTTTTGTGTCTTTTGAGATTATATATGTATATATTGTAATGTAAATAATAGTAAAGTAGTTTTGGGGATTGTTTTGTCATAGATCTTCCTTCAGGTACCTCTCTGCAAAGAATAGATTGAAAATATATTTTTAAGGCCAAAACCTTATTTCACAACTATCAACAATTCTGACTTGGTAAATTTCTCTACAGTGGAGCATTTCACATCAAACCACTCTAAATGACTCTGTTTAGATATTAACAATTTAATTATGCATTTTTTTTTTAATCATGGCAATATTTACATACTGTCGCACATAGTTCAATGGAAAACCCTGTAAAAACAATACAAATGTCCTTGTTCGCGTGTGTGCTCTACTTGTTTATACACCCCTGTCTGTGCTGTAAATTTGTACATAAAAACATATACATACATACTACAATGAAATACAATGCATTCTCTAAGCAACATTATAATCAATCACAGGCAGCATAATATTTACCTCATAGAAATAATTTATGGACCTTTCAACACCTTAAAGTGCTATGTGTAAATGTATGCACCTAAGGTCAAGAAGACACATTTATTGTCAAACAATTCTAATATGTAAGACAAAGTAACAAGGTAATCAGAAATGTAATGAACCAAACAGTTTAGCTGTGACCTATGAAGGTCCTTCCTCCCAGCCGCTGTCAGACTCTATAACAGTCTCAGTAGACAGTAGTTTACAATTACTTTCCATGTGCAAGAACTCTCAACATCACTGCCACAGCACTTTACTGTGTGCAATATCTCAATCCACCATGCGTAGTATATTCACTGCGGATCACTGTCAACATGTTTACCACCATTATGTGCAATTATGTCAAGTGCAATATTTCTCCATTTATTACTGTTTATTTATTTGCTATTTTATTAACTGTGCAATACTCACTACAATACATACATTTCTACATTTCTAAATTTAAATTTAATACTTTGTATATTTTCTTGTAATTTTTGCACATATACATATATCTTTATATTTTTATTGTTTATTCTATTTTATATATTGTTTGTATATTTCCTGCTGCTCTGTCTTCTGTGCTGCTGTAACACCGCAAATTTCCCCGTTGTGGGATTAATAAAGGATTATCTTATCTTATCTTATCTTATCTTATCTTAAGTATCCAACAGTAGGCGTATTTGCCTACCTTTGTAGCTGAGCTTGACCCTGGGGACACTCTCCTTCATGCAGTGCACTTGAGGCAGATACAACAGCAACAGCATCCCCAGCAGTCTTCTCCACACTGGAGAGGGACGGGTCATCCTGGTCCAGCAGAAGGGTTTGTTGTCAGGGAGACGCTGGTGTCTGTACACCTTTTGCTGATTTTGGCTCTGTGGTTCTCCAGTAGTCTTCATAGGAGATAAAGCTCTACCACTGCAGCCCTGTGGAGAGAGCAGAGACTTGTTAACTTGTCAGGAGTCACTGAGGGAGGGGCTGAGCATCTCTGTGGGAGGTGTGTGTGCGTGTCTGTGCGCGTGTGACCTTGTTAAATCCTAAGTGAATACTCAGCTGTTTTACCATGGTCTCCTTTAGGCATCTCTGTCCATTTGAACCGTTCTATATCAGCTGCTGTCCTATTCAGGTCCCTTCCTTTTGTCCTCCAACACACAGACTCATTCGTTCCCTCCTCTCCCTCTCTAAATCTGTTTGTCCCTAAACAAAAGGTCAGCCTGTAGAGGAGCGCCACTTCCAGCCTCTTTTCAAATACTGGTCCTTCTTTCTCCCATCCATCTCACAGTCGTTCCTTTTCTTTCTCTCCTTGTCTCTGCCCCTTACACATTGTAAATGGTATTCCGCACAGGAGCGGCTGGCCAATGATCATGCCTGAATTCTCGCTTCATTAGTCTGTGGAGTGGTGTGAAATTGTGGGAAAAAGACTACACTATATGAAGCTTCATTATGGGCGAGGTCATTTCTTTTTACAAGGAATCATAATAAGAACAAATATTCATGAACTGCCCTGAGAGAATTCCTCCACCTCCAAGAATTCAGCAGTTGCATTCTTTCAAACTCATGAATGAATGACTTAGTGATTAAATGAGACAACACTGCTTTCTGCAAGCATTCCTTTTATGTCCACTGAAAGCATTCTTTTTTTTTAAGTTTACATTACGCCCACAATCATTTCTAGATAATTTTCAAAGGTCCCTAATGCCTAATCATACTGAGGATAAGTGACGCACACAGTTAACAGGACTATTTGGAAGACAGGCCTAATATTCAGACAGATGAGTCTTGTCACTAGGCATGTTCTCTTAGAAGACCGCATCCATTTAACTTTGTTAACACATGCACACAGACTATACACATTTCTAGCAGAGAGGTCCCATCCAAAGATAAGTCTGACTCTCTGTTTACTTAAGAAAACGGTGCTGTCCCCTGTAGCCCATGTTAGCAGAGATAGTTCCAGAGGTGATGGATCATATAGCAACAGAAACACGCAGCAGGGCAGAAAGGAGCAGAGGGAGTGAGCACAAAGGTCGAGTGTCATTGGAACATGGGCACTGAGGTTATCCAATAAAGGTAAACTGATTTCCACCCAACAAATCACTGGGATAACACAACTCTATCAAATCTAATTATGACAAATAAATCAGCGACTGTAGCCCTCCTGTTCACTGGAAATACTCTGCAGGTTGTTCCATCATATATCAACTCACAGCGAGCAAAACAGACCATCGACTCCTTTTTCCACCATCTTTTTTCCTCCTCTTTCCACCTTCTTTCCTTCTACTCTTTCCATCCTTTCTAACTTCTTCACTTCTTCAAATAAAGAAGCCAAAAGGCAGGTAGCCTAAAGAACATTTAAGTTGAGTGGTTTCAACTGTGTTTTAAAGACACCATCCATTGAAAGGTTTTTTTATAGAAACAAAAGTGGATCTTCTGTCGTATTACACTAAAAGTTGCCTTTCTGGCACCATTTTTTTTCTTTTTTAAGGTTCTTCTTCTTTTTCGTCTTCTTCTTCTTCTTCTTCTTCTTCTTCCTCTTCTTGTCTCTATTCTTCTTCCTACTCATCTTCTCTCTTTTCTTCTTCTTCGCATTGTCCCTGTCCTACTTTGGCCTATATTTATTCACAGTTGTTCTGGTTACCCCCCTCTACTTATCTATAAAGGCACATCACATTAACTTCCTACACCTGGGCTACTGCAAACACAGCATATGAATAATATTATTTTACTGTTTAACTGCAGAATAAAGATAACACAGGTCATTATTATGAGCTCACTTTACTTATTTTTGTTATTCTTGGCTCAGAAGTCAATAATCCTTGAGTCTTGAGTTTGATCATATAGAGCTGCTCCTCTGGTCAGTTTAAATACCGCTAACATTAATGCAGCGCACACCGCACCAAGGCCGTGCTGTATTTTCATAACACAGTGCAACAACATGCAGAGAAAATCTGTCTTCATTAAGTCAAGAAAAATTTTGAATCGTTCGAACAAGAACAGCAGAGAGACTCTGTGAGAACGGCATCAATTTCCAGAGAGAGCCACTGCCAGAAAGCTGTAGCTGAATTATGCAGAAATAATTGGAGCTGCATTAAATGAATTATATCCCGCTCTCTCAGTGAAAAACAACTGCCCTCAACATGAACAAGACCTCTGAATTGTTGTCGTTGCATGTGGATGTTTATGTTCATGAGAATGTCACGTTTCTCTAGTGAACTTCTCTCCGCACTAATGAAGAAAGTAAATTCTCCCAGCTGCATGTTGCCATTCACTCACTCCCTCTCACCTCAGAACAGTTTTTTTTAAAGTGAAACACTAAAATATGTTATGGCTCATGGTGGCTTTAGGAAAATGGTCTTAAATGATGCAAAACAGGTTTGGCTTGTAATTGTTAATGATGATCATTTTAGATGTACTTCAGTGTTCCAAGGCTCAATTCAATAATTCTGTAACCATAAAGCAATTATGAGTCAGAATTCCAGATTTGATGGTTACTGTACAACTGTATGCACCTTTTGTGGGATGAGAGATAAAGAAAAAAAGTCTGTAAAGGTAAGACATTTACTACAACTACTGTCTACTAGCTGATTCTCCCTTTATTGTTCTAATGTTCTTCAGCTGATGCATAATATTGTATCGTTGCACGTTTTCATACAATAAAGTAGTAATAAAAGTTGCAGCCCAAAAGAAACATTCATACACTACTCTACAAACTGCAGCATGTTCAGTCCAGGAGCGGTTCCAAAAAGAACTTGTACTGAAGTTATCGCTGAATTCTTAATGTGGGAGAACGTATCAGATGAATGAAAGGGATTAAAGTTTCAAATTCACTCGAGTCAATAGGCAGCGTCAGTGACTAATTGCATGTCTGTAATCCTGTCACAGAGGACACATGATCCTATTCTTGCGTGTATGAGGGAAACTGAACTCATGTTATTAGGAAAAGCTCCAGTTTCTCTACTCACAACCCCCTAATCAATCCTATATATCATACTGGCAGTACAGCCAGCAGGCGTGCATGTGTGTATTTGTGCATGCTGAACTTGGTTATAAAAACAAAGCGAACTTTCCTTTTTTTCCTTTGTTCTTTATTCTTTCAGCTGAACTGCAAATTAATGCTGGAGACATAATTTAAATCCTCTGCACACTAAAGGTAATTGTAAGACTAAACTGATCAGAAACACTTTAAAAAAATCCTCTGATAACAGTGGTGTTCTGGTGGTATCCAAAACTAGGCCCCATATCCTACATTTTACCTTTTCCCTGAGGTCCAGTTATGATGTTTGTGTAGATTTATGTATCAAAAACAGTCATAATTCCTTTTTTACATGGCCATTTCTAACCTTTTTCTGTCTCTATCACCTTGGCCCAAAAGTAAGCAAACGTTCAAGTGTATCACATCGCGTCGCAGGATGAAGTGGACCATGTGGTTGTGTCTCCATTTAGCCATTTCCCCATAAACTGTCAAATTTCAGTTACTATTATAGTTACACAATATATCGGAAGCCGATGTATTATTTGCTTATGAACGCAAAGACATAATTATTACAATCAATCTTACACTGAAATTAATTATAACCGATTGTCCTGGTTTTTGCTTCTACTGAAACATGTGCAGAAGCACATGTAGTCACTCATGGTGGGAACAGCACTCTGAGTTTCACTGTAACAGCTACCTATATCCACAATTTACTAACAAGAATTCTAACAGAAAAAAGAGTAATTACACAAACTACATTTTAGTTTGTTACATTTTTAGTTTGGTTTATAAAAATACTTAAGTTTTGATTTAGAGCAAATACCCCCTTTTTTACCATGAATGCTCCAAACATAGCAAATTCGACACATCGATCTAACAGTTAAAATAGCCTATTTCAGATACGGACACCCATGACAGGATTTCTGCTGACCTAGACCGAGCGATGTTATGGATGTAAATAAAACATTATTTGTAAGTCTTTGTGTAGCTATGTGTTTCCATCGTTAATATAGCTGTTTTACCAATTGCACAGCCAAGTTCATGTTCTATCACTAACTCAAGTTCCATCAGAAGTGAAATAACGCTGATACATTAACAGAAATCTCATTCAGGACTGATGGCTCGGTGAGGTATTCCAGTGTTTGATATAAATTTCACTCATATACATTCATAGAGATGACATTTCATATTCTACACAAATCAACTCAACCTGTTATCTGTGTTCAGGTTTTCTGAAAGAGCGATGGATGTGTTTCACACCTGAGTGTCAAAACTAGAAAAAAATGAATATGCAGATGGACTATTTCCCTTTCAATAAACATTTTTTATTGTTTTGATATTTTCACTAACTTAGAGAATGAGCTGCAAAGTCATAGCTGGGGGCAGTTCTTTTAGTGTGCCACCTGTTCTTACATGGGTGTGACCCTTTTTTTTGATAGCTTTGTATTAATTCCCATACTGTTGTAAATGGCTTTCGATAAGCGTGTTTGCTATATAATGTAAATATATACATAAAGTAATGTAAAATATTGAAATAATTCATTAAGCTATAATATTTTAATGTGTTTGTGACACCAGTATTGGCATCAGTAAGGTGTCCATTTTCTACCTTATGGACTACTTTGAAACTTTTGGCTAGTTTAACCACATTTTTATAAGGTAACTGGCTCAAGGGCAGTCTTTCTGTTGAGGTGGAACATCACTGTGATGTGACACAATGCATCAAAAATAAAAAACAGGGCATCAGTCAAAAACAGCATGCTTTTTGATGTTTGCAAACAGTGTAGATGCCTTCATTGAATATAATGGGAGCATTTGGGTTTTGTCAGGCTGTTTTTGTTAGTGTGCTTAAGGCTGATATATGAACTGAAAATGAACTCTGCTCTGACTGGATCTTCTGTATTGTGCCTTGCTCAAAAAGCTGCCTGGGCTGAAACACTCCTTATTACTTCA